CCTACGGCCCGATCATATGGACTCCTTTACCACATCATACACTGCATCACTGCCATTATCCGGTCCACTTGAATTTGTTTTTCCATCGATACAGTTGAGTGGCTGTAGGGAGGGAGTTTGCGGAAGATGGTGGAACGATCTGCTTTCATTTTGAATTAGTTCACGAGCCAGTCACAGCTGAGCGCACACCAAGCTGAGAAATCTACGGTATCCATTCGCGACAGCCGAAAAGGCGTTTGTGTGTATTGAAGTAGGTTCAAGCTTCATTCGATTCAATGAAAACATATATTTTCATTACGTGTTTAGCTGCAAAATCAACTTCAATGAACTTTTTTGCATTAACTGGCCTTTGGGCAGGGCAGCACATGGAAATTTGCAGGAAAGCCGTGAAGCAGCATATTGAAACACGTAATAGCACATCAAGATTGTAAACAGCTAGGATGCTGCATCTTAACCTCGAGAAATACCAAATATGTTCATAAATGTTCTTCTGTTTATGTCGTTTTATCTGCTTATTTGATCACATGAACAGGCTTCGAGTGCTTCTAGGAATTAAGTTCGCTGGCTTGATATAAACATGCAGGTTTTCACTAAGTATATTTCTCTTAGAATGAATGTGATTTTTGTTAGCGCAATCTTATTCTTTATGTGTATTTTCTGCTTAAAGTCAGATAAATGTCGCCCATTTTTAACGTAAATTTTGGTCGATGCACTATGACAGTGTTCTGATTGGTCTAACTCCTCTGCATAGATGCCGCACCTGTTGGTCTTAACAGAGAGAGAGTGAGTAAAATGCACTTAGTTCAATACAGGTTCCGCAATTAATTGTCGGGGGCTTTGCTGACCTTTCGAAAGTCCTTCATTACTTACCGCCAAAGCATGCAAGAGAAAGGGAGGGTTGTCTATCTGTCCGCCACTGAGACTGAACTAGATGCGATTATGGACAGAAATAGTGCCATCAAGATCTGGGTTTCTGTATTGATGATGAGTTCAGTTTATGTACTGACAGTGTGTACAGGACTGGTCACGCCACCTGTAAATTATTTCCTAGCACTGGGTCTGTTCAGGCCATAGCGTAGTCTGCAAAGTCAAATTCAGCGTTCTCACTGATGAAAGTAATATAGTAAATTCAACCCCAACAAGTTGCGGGAACCCCGTGTGGCTGGGACATTTTCTAATACGTTTCATATAATGATAATACAACCGTGTAAAATATTGTTTCGGAATTATTTAGTGATCTCGGGAGTCGGCTAGGGGATTAGAATATAGCACTGTGCGGCAATTGGAGTTGAGTATTATAGCCAGATGCAAACATATCGATAATAGGTGAACACAAGCGTAAAATCGCCTTGCCTTATGTTACGCACATTAAACAGGCAGAAAGTATGTTTTATTAACCATTCACTTCTGCATAATTCAACAAGTGGTTGTTTTGCTGATGATACGCTGGTTCTAGTATGAGCCCCAAGGCACAACGGAACGAGCATGTTCCGTAACCTGATCGGCGAGCGCCCACTATCATAATTGATACTCCCGATCACAACCGGCAGTACAACGGGCTCGTGTCTCAATGGTAGAGCGTCAAATTCCATGGCCAAAGATCCCGAATTCGAATCTCAAGTGATCCATGCTTGGGCTTGGGTATGACTGGCGGATGACGGCTATTAAGCCAGAAATGGCCATTCCGGTCTCCCTTGTCTTTGTCGGTACCACCTGATATATATGTATTGCTGAATGAAGCGAAAATGCGCGTTCCGGGTATAAATGAGAAGACAAGGCGACCACAGGAACTATGGATGTATTTGCCTGACGTTACGAAAGCAAACAAGCTTCCATCATCGGAGGTGGGTTGCGTACTGCACGTCACAGTATTTGAAGGTTTTCCTTCGTGCTGGCGTGTCACGGACTTCCAGCGTGCTGCATCGCAACACCTGACGATTGCTGTCACGGTGGCATCGGTCTATTATTTCCTATCACTGGGTCATTTCATGCCATGGTGTAGTCTGCAAAGTAAAATTCTGCTGAAAAGAGACTCAATTCAATCCTAAGTTTATGTCATAGCACGAAATATCAGGGAAATATTTTCGGCTCCCGCTTAAAGGGCCATGTGTTTTATTTGTATTATCGGACATTGCATGGTATCAAACGCTGAACTAGAAGGCTTTAGGTCCACCCTTTTAAAAAGAGCTTGTTATTGGAAAAGAATCGGGCTTTTCAAATGTAGTTTATTTAAATAGCGTATTGGGAGCAGGCTTGTTGATGCAGATGTTAGTGAATTTTAAGGGATAAGTATCTATTTTAGAACAATAAAGACGCAAATTTCCTCTTCATGTGGTTTAATTTACACAGAATACAGTTAGAAAAGTGTGAACGGTGGTTTAATTCGGTTTTAGTTTGAGTAATTCAAGTAATGGTGATTTCGTTTAAAGAAACGTCTTTCGAAAAAAACCTAGGCGTCCACCATAGCAGCAGTAGATCCACATTTTTGCGCATACCAGCATTCATTTTTGTTGAACTCACATAACCATCGAATTACATAGAATGATATATACCATGGAAACGGTTGCCTGTTAATCTGTTGATCACATTATACTGCATAAACAAACAATGAACACTGCTCATTTAGCCATCTTACCGGATCGACAGTTACACTTTTCAAAGTCAAACTTTCGAGAATAATATTATCCACCTCACAAACTTGAGAAGATTCAAACAATGTCGTAAAGCATTTACTCAACAGTGAAACACGCGGACTTCGTTAATCAGGGAAGTTAGTTCAAAAGAAACATGCCTATGGAGGGCCCTATGGAGTGAAATTTTGGCGTTTTCATTAACTGAGCATTTTGTTTACTCTCACAAGGACCAATATCCACGCAGCACTACCTTTTCGAGAAAGCTTTTATCCTGATCGGAAAATAAATCGATGTTTCACACAAACACCAGCCGAGCTTCCTGTCACTGGCTTTTATTTAACAAAGACATTCGTAATCCCATTCTAAATTCAATTTCCTCCCAATTGGAATAGTCCAGATGTAAATATGTTCATAAAGTTACACGCCTAAGTTTGTCTGTCTGCAATCTCATACACCCCGTCGAATGGCAGTGAGAGGCACTTTTCGATAAAACTTTGCCTCAAAACATTGAGACTTTACCTCAAAAAATAATTTGCCATGATTTTGGCTTACTTCTATAGTTTTCAGCGTGTTCGTTGTAATAGAGCACTAGCGGGGACATATTTCAGCGCACAGACCGGAAAATAGAAATGCATTTTTCTAGTGGGGTTTGTGCCCAAAAATACAAAACATCCGATGAACCATTTCGAAGTAAAATCCGCCCACCGAAAGGAGCACAAATGTTAGTTCCGCGAAGCCGTCAAATTAGGAAGACATGCTCAGCCGTGACCGAGAACACAGTTACGCCATCTCATAAACATTTTCATTTTATTTGTGCATAGACTTGATCTGATATTGCATTTGGTCATGAAATCGACTGTGAATTCAAAGTAGCGGACACTTTGTGGTATGATTCTGCAGATCGATGATGTATTCTGGACGAACACACTCATCTACCGTGCAGAGACTGAAAAAAAGTTCCTAATCATCTACTTAACGGCTGTGGAAGCGCATCTTGTGTGACACTCATTTTGAGTTATTTAATTCCCTTTATAAAGACACTGGAAGTCGAAAGCCCGGTCAGGTTTTTGCAGGCAAACATTTTGTCATGTGTGGATCCCACATAATTTTAGTATCAAAAGCATTTGACAGATGGAACTCTGGAGTGGATAGTATGATAATAAGTACATTTGGTCTTATTGTGTGCGGTTGTATCATTTGTTTACATATTAGTATCTTGTATATTTCAACGGGGTGCAGCAGGTTCCGGTTTTGGTTTCCATGTGGGCTCTCATCAATATGCTAACCAAATGCTTGCGTTATCGCCACTATCATTCAGTACTCATTTAAATTCACATTATAATGCTTCTAGACAGAGTCTACAATACATTACAACATTATGCTTCTGTCACTTTTGAGATTGACGTTCGCTCCTAAAATGAATGCAACGCCTCAAGCGGATCTAAATAGAAATTGGTATGCCAGACAAGCCCTTAGCGAGATACGCTAAATTGCGTATTAGACCCGTATGCGCATTATGGCTGACTGTTATTAGGTTTGAACATGGAAACCGAATAAGCTAAGAAATATATCCCGGCGACTTTAAGGTCTATTAAACATTCAACGTGTATGTGAAATAGGCGTTGATCAATAGAATTGTAAAGGCCATGGAGAGCATTTAAAAAGACATGTTAAACAACATGTTTTAATTGGGCAGGCATATTCGGCAAAAATCAAATAAGTACTACTGTTTTATATTTTATTCCAAATAAGCATTAATTCTGGTTAGAGATTGTTGTTAGCCGCTACCCAAAGACCAACACTTATGTGCTGCAGACAGTCGGTAAGTATCGTTGAAATGAATGCCCGACTAGATTTCCAGCGTTTTGGATGGTCTGCAGTCGCCAATCAGAACTTGCCTCGCTGTTATTGCCACCATGGCTTATGAAACTCACATTTATGTCTGGAAACCGTAGGTCAGTAAAATGAAGCTGATCGCGAAGAAAACCCGTTTGAGAGACGTATTTAATTGTTCCCACGGCCGTCAGGTTTTCCACAGTAAACTCCAATGTATCCAGAATTATTGGTGCCCTACTATGACGCATAAACTGCCGAAGTTTCTATATTAAAAATAGTTTAGACAGTAATTTTCCCGACAAACACACCCGAGCATTCAAAACTAGCAAGGAACATTTCGGTCATACCAATTGACTGATCCTCAGCTTAATTCTCCCAAACTCAATTTGACAGAGCAAATTCAAAACCTCCTCCTCTCTAAACATTTCGGCGAATGAGCAAAGTCCTGTTGTAATATTGCCTTTCATAGACAGGTTAAGTTTTGTTATCGTTCCATCATGAAGCCGGAAATAATGCATCATATTCGTTCGTTTAAGCAGATGTTGCTCTATAAACTGCGGCAATGAAGCCAGAGAGTTGACCCTCGGACATTTTTCTGGCGGCCTCACATTTTCTGCAGAGATTTCAATCCAAAGAAAATAGCAGATAGTGCTATATGCATTAAAAAGCAGTAAAAAGTCCAAAGAACACGCGACACAAGTTGTTTATCTGTGGTCGTTATCAAACCTGATTTCACCCGTACTTGTTGGTTTATATATCCACTTTACGTCACAAACTCATTATCATGCACGTAAATAAAACAGGTAAGATATTTCAGTATACAGTTGTCCTAAGTAAATACAATTAAAATCGTAGGAATAATCATATTCTGCCCTGAGTATCTGTTCTGGAATGTCTGTAGTATATGAATCCAGTCTTGCGCATTGCGACTCCAATTATCAATGTACACGCTTATGTATTGCGTGCAATGTAATTCTAGTAAACCAAAAGAACGTGAGTCATTATGTCCATGTTATTCAAACTAAGACTGAGAAGTTTGGTGTCAATGAGTTTACTTTAGGTTTGCGTATTTGTTACTGATAAAATTAATCAGATTATCATGAAGTAATCTCGTCAACTGTAGTCAATGCTCCTGAGCATTACTTCCTCCGTGTCGTACCTTGGTGGTACCGATTATGTTTAACTCGAATTCCGAGGAAAATTGTGTTTTGCTTGTTACCAGTTGTCATACGTTAACGCTCTGTTTAAAATGTTTGTCTGATATGCATAAAGGAGTTTATAAAAACAAAGTGAAGTAATGTAGCTAGCGCTAGTATGTGCATCTTATGTCAAAAAGGATAAATACCTCGAAAGGAGAAACAGGCTTCGGTTATAGACCGCAAAAATACACTGATAGTCAAAACGCGAAACATTAGACGGTCTTATCTGGGAGATTTGGCTGACGAGGGTATCGGCTGTAACCCTCTTGAATGGAAGACTAGACGCGCACTGCTCACTTATATCTGATGCAATCAAGCGTGCATGCTGCGCGTGGATTCGTTTGTTAGTAAAGTAGGTCGTTTTTCACTGGCCAGTCGACGTTGCTCTGAGTGTGAAGAAATTTGACCATCAATAAGCAATTTTAATTGGACAACGAATGTTTTCAATTGAGAAAAGAGTGGATGTTGACGGTCTATTCGACGGTAACAACATAAATTGCGAATTGCGTGAGGAATGAGGCTGAGGGAGCAGAGAAACTGACAGGTGCACTGCTGTTCTGGCTGCACATATTGTTTACGCACCGGTTCAAAACCTCTTATGCCTCACCAGACATACGAGGACATGCACAAAATATCAAGAATTATTCGTTTAATGGTTTTTTTAAGACAGCATGTTAAGGCCTCATGTCCCTTGAAAATACACTTCCTTAAGTGGTACACGCCTGTTTCGCTAAAAAATTGATTGCTTCGTACACTGTATGGGCAGACGCGTTGTCATGATGAAGCAGGCTGTACTCTGATCGCCATAATTCCGATTGGGTTTCCTCACTGTCACACAAATTTGCTTCAGTACTACCAGATAATAATGCAGATTCACTGTGTTGCCATGGGTAACAGCTTCAACGTCAATGACTTCCCTAAGGTCGAAAAACAAAGAAGGATGTAGAGGAAACATAATTTTATGTTCGCTGATATTCGGGATTTCACCACCGTTAAGGGCGTTGGGGAGGGCCTTAATAAAATAATCACTAGTAAACCTATCTAAGGGGGCAGGGCAGCGCTACAAACAAACATGCCTACAAAAAATAATTTTTGTTTGTTTCTGGCTACCTTCTCGAATCACTGTATGCAAGACACAAGCAATCCTTAAATCGACGGATGCCAGGGCAGATATTTCGACCGGCATGACAGTGTTATATTTCCCAATATCTGAAGCTATGCAAACAACTGAAGAAAACGGATAGCCACTTTTAAAAAATAAACTGCACGTTGCATTATGTGGGAGTAAATGCTTAATGGAGCACATTTCCTGTGATTTAAGTGTAGAAACATATAACAAGGCGACCGTCCGCTTGTGTGCACATATTATCGATAAGTTAGCGTCCGGTTATAATGATCGGCCTCAATGTCGACACGGAATTAAATTCTTAACTAATAACAGAGTACTATGTTCGCCGACTAATTACGGAAAACATTTTTAGATGAGTGTATCCTAATCATGTGAACGTTATTAGAAAACGTCCCAGCCACACAGGGGTCCCGCAACTTAAGCGGTTTAAGTTACAACATAATCCCATTAGTGCCAACAGTGAATTTAACCTCAGAGAGTCTTTTATGACATAAACTGGCCCAGGGTTAGAGAATAATAGATAGGCGGAGTCACCAGTCATGCCAAGGCTGAACACTAGCGCTGTACGCACTATCAGCATACAAGCAGAACTCATCATCTACACAGCAACCCATCTCTTGATAGCGCTAGTTCAGTTTCACGACTCACCCTTTCTCTTTCATCCTTTAGCGGAAAGTAATAAAGGACATTTAAAAGGTCAAAAAAAACATACGCGGACTAATTGCGGTCAAAAAAAACCTATGCGGACTAATTGCGGACTGATCGCTCTCTGGGAAGTCCCACTGGTTCGGTGTCTATACACATATGTTAGCACAATCAGAATCCTGTCCTAGCGCATCGACCAAAATTTAGGGCAAGAAATGAACGACACTGATCTTAGTTTAAGCCGAAAATACATATGGAGAGTGGCGTTGCACAAGTGAAAAATAAAATTTATTCTAAGTGAAAAATGCGTGGCGAAAACCTGAATATTCATGCCAAGTAGGTGGCCTTAATTCATAGATGCACGTGAAGCCCGCCGACGTGAGCAAATAAGGGGCCAAAACGACATCAGCAGAGCAACATTTAGAAAAACAGTTGGATACTTTCCGAGGTGAAGATACAACAGTAATTAATATGATATGCAGTATGGTAGCTGTGTAAAAACTTGATGTGCAATTAGTAATTTCAAAATGGTGCTGCGCTGGTTTCTTTGCCGAGGAAATTACTGTCTAAAGTTTTTGCACTATACAACTATCGGCAGTTAATGCGGCATAGAAGGTCACCAAGAATTCTGGATGCATTGGAATGTACTGTGCAAAACCTGACGGCCGTGGGCACAAGTAAATACGTCTCTCAAACGGGTCTTCTTCACAATCAGCTTCATTCTACGTACCTACGCTTTCAAGACCTAAATTCGAGTTTCATATACCATAATGGCAATAAAAGTGAGGCACGTTCTGATTGGAAATGGCAGACCATCCAAAACGCTGGAAATCTAGTCAGACATTCACTTCAACGTCACTTCCCGACTGTCTGCAGCACATAGCTGTTGGTCTTCGTTTATCAGCTATCGATAGTATCTAACCTCAACTGCTGCGTTTTGGAATTCAATTTGAAATATTACTGCTTAGTTTCATTTTTGTCGATTAGGACTACATTATTAAAATATGTTATTCAATACGTCTTTTCAAATACTCTCCATGGCCTTTACAATTCTGTTGATCGACGCCTTCTTCGCAAACACGTTGAATGTTATATAGGTCTTAAAGTCGCCAAGATACATTTCTGAACTTAATCTATTTCCATGTTCAAAGTTAATAACGGTCAGCCATAATGTGCATATGCGTCCAATACGCACTCTGGCGTATCTCGTTAAGGGCTTTTCTGACATATCAATTTCGACTTAAATTTCCTTGGGGACGCGTATCCGTTTTTAGGAGCGAGTGTAAATCAAAAGACTGCAGAAGCGTAATGTTGTAAGGTCTTGCAGACTTTGTCCAGAGTCATTATAATGGGCGTTTAAAGGCGTACTGATTATTGATGACGATTACTCAAGCATCTTATTAGTTGTCTGACGGAAGCTCACTTGTAGACGAAAACCTGGACCTTCAGCACTCCATTGGAATATACATGCTATTAGTATGTCAACAAATGACACTACCGCACACAATAAGACCGACGTTATTCATTCTCCGAGTATCCACTCCAGAGTTCCATTTTTCAAATGTTTTTGATGCTAAACTTTTGTGAGAACCACACATGGCAAAATGCTTGTCTGCAAAAATCTGACCCGGCTTTCGACTTCCAGTCTCTTTACAGAGGGAATGAAATCATACGAAATGGATGTACACGAGATGCGCTTCCACAGACTTTAAGAAGGAAGTTAAGACTTTTTTCAACCTCTTGCGGCATCTGCAATAAAAATTTCTAATTCGAGCACTGCATAAGGTCGTTCGGGGCGGCGGTAAGGACGCCCTATTAGACCCTCCTGTCTTACGGAGCTGGTGTATGAGGGGTTATAAAGGTGGGGCAAACCAGAAATAAAGCGTATTTTCCTTGTGTGGTGTTGCGTTAATTTATGTAAACCAATGGTAGACCACGACGGACCTTGTCAGACAGCGGAAAAGCGATTTTAATTGATACTGAGCACCATAAAACCAAATGAAAATAAATATAACGACTATACAGTAATGACGCCCAAACCAGGGTACAGAGCAGTAGAGTAGAAAATCAAATTCAGAGTTCGCAGACAACCGTGGACTCCAAAAGAGGACAGCGCGTTCCACGACTAAACTGCTCAGCACAATGAAAGAATACGAAAAACAAGACTTAGATGATGTAGCCAGCCAAGTAGGGTAAGTATAATTATGGAAACGGTTAGACCTACGCAAAATGACATAATAGCTAATTATTGTGGCAAACTACCATTAGGCGATGCCAAGTGGGAAATGTAAAGTAGGACTTTCGCCCTATGATAATAATGCGATTAATGTTCTTTATTCCAGGAATGCTTTATGCAGACCTTTAAACGTTGTAAAATGCATGCTTAAAATAAATGAGCTACTGATGGATTGGCAGAATTAGGAAAGCCAAAAAATGCTTGATGTGATAAACTAGTGTTAAGAAAAACGTCTTTCCCCAACATATTCAGTGTGCGCCCTAAATGGCGTGCTTAAATGAACGAGCTATTGAGGTTTGACAAAACTTCGCATAAGTTCAACTTCTGTGTAACTGTTTTGAAAAGATGACGAGTTACCGAAACATGTGTTTGCCAAAGTGACTTTCCAATTGTACCATGGGAATTTTCGCCGAAGTTAGAATAAGCAAAGCCAAGGAAATGCCTGACGTGATAAACTATTGTCAAGAAAAACGTCTACTCCCAACATATTCAGTGTGCGCCGAAACTGACGTGCTCAAATTAATGAGCTTTTGAGTATTTACAGAACTACGCATAATTTCAACTTCTATGCAACTGTTTTGGACGAATCAACCGCATAACTCCTCGTTCGTCAAAGATGTCTGTATAGATGGCAACTTATGGTAAGCCTAAGCGAATTCAAAGAGGTTGAGGAGATTTCATCATAACAGTCGTAGTCTACGAATGATTTTCATGTTGGCATACAGTGACTAATTGGATATAATCGTTGTCGTCGTGGTAGAGTAATGGTATTCAAGTAAACCTTAGTAGGCAGAAATATGTAATATGCAAAACAGGGTCTCAAATGGCGTGCTTAACCAATCTGCGTGGACACAGCACTAACGTAACTGCGTTTCCGTGCACGCCTGTATTCCTACTGATGTCAGTTATTTCTCCTCATAATAATCGCTTTCTAATCCGTGCCTATCAAACTTCAAAAGGGCCATCAAATGCAAGCATTCCATGCGTTTTAGAATGGGAAAACAATGTCCGATCTCAGTGTTAGGTATAAGGTCGGTGCGAACTGCAAGTGCAACTTGACTGACGCTCATTCAGATGTCTTTGTCACATCAAAGCCTGTGCCACGAAACACGGCTAGTGTTCGAGTGGAATATCGTTCTCCTTTCCGGTCAGGATAATGACATTCTCATGAAGGCGGTGCCGCGTGAATATTGATTCTTGTGTGAGTAAACAAAATGCTCAGTATATAAAAACGTCAATTTTTCACTGAGGGACCTGACCAAGATCAATGCATTGGCATGCGCCTTTTGAACTGACTTCGCCGATTAACTGAGACTGCGAGTTTCATTTATGAGTAAATGCTGTATGACAGCCTCTCTTACCTCTCAGTTTAATGGAGCGGATAAGTTAGATATCAATGATCTGACTTTGAGGACGGCAATTGGCAAACTAGGAGGATGGCTGAGTGAGCAGTTTACAGTATCCTCTTATTCAGTATGTGCAACAATTCATGAACGCATTGTAATTGCTTTGAACTGCGCGGTCATTTGCAAATTTAACCCGTCATATGTTACACGTTTCGAAACGCCAACTCGCTGAGCGCGCAAAGGACTTAACAGCTTAACAGACGGCTTTTTCTATGGTAGAGATCTTTCGATGTTTTTCGATGCCAGTATGAATTCAGCGAAAATGAATGCTAGTATGCGCAAAAATGTCGATTTAATGCTGTTATGGTGGCGCTTGTGCTTTCATTGAAAGAAGTTGCCTTAAACAAAGCGACCAGTATTTGTACTACTCAAACCAAAGTCGAATTAGACCAACGTCCACGCATTTCTTACTGTATGTTTTGTAATAATGCATCACATGAAGAAGGACATTGCTCCGATACCGTTCTAAAATATATACGTATCCCATAAAATCCACTATAAACTGCATCGGCAAACCTGCTGCCAATAGGCTCTTTGAAAACTACAATTGGAATGCCGATTCTTTTGCAAAAACGAGCTCTTTTTATAAAGATGGACCTAGTGCCTTTTAAATCAGTATCTGATGCAGTGCAATATCCGACAATACAGATAAAATACATTGCTCTTTCAGTTGAAGCCGAAAATATTTCCCTGATATTTCAAGCGATGATATAAACTTAGAACTAAATTGAGTCTGTCTTCAGCAGAATTTTACTTTGCAGTTATCATTTTTATAGTTTGCAGTTTGTATTTTTGGGCACAAACCCCACTAGAAAAATGCATTTCTATTTTCCGGTCTGTGCGCTGAAATGTGTCCCCGTTAGTGCTCTATTACAACGAACACGCTGAAAACTATAGAAGTAAGCCAAAATCATGGCAAATTATTTTTTGAGGTAAAGTCTCAATGTTTTGAGGCAAAGTTTTATCGAAAAGTGCCTCTCACTGCCATTCGACGGGGTGTATGAGATTGCAGACAGACAAACTTAGGCGTGTAACTTTATGAACATATTTACATCTGGACTATTCCAATTGGGAGGAAATTGAATTTAGAATGGGATTACGAATGTCTTTGTTAAATAAAAGCCAGTGACAGGAAGCTCGGCTGGTGTTTGTGTGAAACATCGATTTATTTTCCGATCAGGATAAAAGCTTTCTCGAAAAGGTAGTGCTGCGTGGATATTGGTCCTTGTGAGAGTAAACAAAATGCTCAGTTAATGAAAACGCCAAAATTTCACTCCATAGGGCCCTCCATAGGCATGTTTCTTTTGAACTAACTTCCCTGATTAACGAAGTCCGCGTGTTTCACTGTTGAGTAAATGCTTTACGACATTGTTTGAATCTTCTCAAGTTTGTGAGGTGGATAATATTATTCTCGAAAGTTTGACTTTGAAAAGTGTAACTGTCGATCCGGTAAGATGGCTAAATGAGCAGTGTTCATTGTTTGTTTATGCAGTATAATGTGATCAACAGATTAACAGGCAACCGTTTCCATGGTATATATCATTCTATGTAATTCGATGGTTATGTGAGTTCAACAAAAATGAATGCTGGTATGCGCAAAAATGTGGATCTACTGCTGCTATGGTGGACGCCTAGGTTTTTTTCGAAAGACGTTTCTTTAAACGAAATCACCATTACTTGAATTACTCAAACTAAAACCGAATTAAACCACCGTTCACACTTTTCTAACTGTATTCTGTGTAAATTAAACCACATGAAGAGGAAATTTGCGTCTTTATTGTTCTAAAATAGATACTTATCCCTTAAAATTCACTAACATCTGCATCAACAAGCCTGCTCCCAATACGCTATTTAAATAAACTACATTTGAAAAGCCCGATTCTTTTCCAATAACAAGCTCTTTTTAAAAGGGTGGACCTAAAGCCTTCTAGTTCAGCGTTTGATACCATGCAATGTCCGATAATACAAATAAAACACATGGCCCTTTAAGCGGGAGCCGAAAATATTTCCCTGATATTTCGTGCTATGACATAAACTTAGGATTGAATTGAGTCTCTTTTCAGCAGAATTTTACTTTGCAGACTACACCATGGCATGAAATGACCCAGTGATAGGAAATAATAGACCGATGCCACCGTGACAGCAATCGTCAGGTGTTGCGATGCAGCACGCTGGAAGTCCGTGACACGCCAGCACGAAGGAAAACCTTCAAATACTGTGACGTGCAGTACGCAACCCACCTCCGATGATGGAAGCTTGTTTGCTTTCGTAACGTCAGGCAAATACATCCATGGTTCCTGTGGTCGCCTTGTCTTCTCATTTATACCCGGAACGCGCATTTTCGCTTCATTCAGCAATACATATATATCAGGTGGTACCGACAAAGACAAGGGAGACCGGAATGGCCATTTCTGGCTTATTAGCCGTCATCCGCCAGTCATACCCAAGCCCAAGTGTGGATCACTTGACATTCGAACCCGGGATCGTTGGCCATGGAGTGGGTTTTGGCTCGATTCAGAAGGCTGTAGACTGTGCTCCGTTTGTGGGAGACAGTGTTGTTACTCTCAAAGTGAAAGATGACCTCTGAATACGCTTCTTTGCGATAAACTGATGTCTGTAGTGGTCCATCGGTTTTTGAGGAAACAAGTTATCGAGCAGAAATGAAATACATGTACAAACTGTTCTCCCAAAATGGGTACCCGCATGACTTTATACGTCAATGCATGAGGCACCAGCAACTCAAGGGAAAAGGTATTTCCAATGCTACGGCCACTCAGGCACCAAAACAAACCACATGGCGAACTCTCTCATCCGTCAAAAATGTATCTGAGCTTATCGAAAGACATTTGAAACCGTACCAGATACACGTAGCACACCGGCCGGCAACTACCTTACGCAGACGGCTTGTACACCCTAAGGACAGGGCTGGCTACCTCGAAAGAAAAGGTGTCGTTTACAAAATCCCGTGTTCTAGTTGTAATGCCGTTTATTGTGGCCAACCTGGGAAATCTGTCTCAACCCGTTTACATGAGCATCGTTTAGCGGTGAAGAGACGCGGCCATCTATCCCAGGTGGCCATGCACACACTAGACACTGGGCATAAATTCGCATGGGAGAACACGCGCATTGTTGGCGCCTGCCAAACAAGAAAAGGCCGCGAATTCCCGGAGACAATGCACTCAGATGAGGCATGCATCAACCGGCATATCGATTTAGACGCCACATACAAAATCGTTAAGTACAGATTTATATTGAGTCAGCCAATCCCGAGGTGACAACCTTAACCAATCATGGACTTCTTTTGCTAGACTCAGTCTAAACGTCAATTGTTTTTTCACACCCGTTGTCTGAAGACGAGCTGGGGAACCAGTCTCGAAAATTCACAATAAAATTTTGCTGTTTCCCAAAGAACTTCACCTTTCTAATTTTATGTATGGGCAGAATAGTATTACCGAAAAAGACAAGGGAGACTGGAGTGGCCATTTCTGGCTTATTAGCCGCCGACAGCCAGCCATACCCAAGCCCGAAGTGTGGAACACCCGAGTCTCGAACTCGCAATCTGTTGGTTTAGAAGTCAACGCCTCTACTTATCGGGCCACGAGCCCGTTGCCCTGTCGGTTTTCGATCGGAAATATACAATGTTAGGGGGCGCTCACCGATCGTTCATACAGAACTCACTCGTTACGTTTTGCCTTAGGGGCTCTCTCTCGAGCCCAACCAGCAGCCGCACAGCGGCGCATCATATAAAGGCAGAGTGGTATTACCGACAAAGACAAGGGAGACTGGAATGGCCATTCCTGGCTTATTAGCCGCCGTCAGCCAGCCATACCCAAGCCCGAAGTGTGGAACACCCGAGTCTCGAACTCGCGATCTGTTGGTTTAGAATCCAACGCCTCTACTCACCGGGCCACGAGCCCGTTGCCCTGTCGGTTTTCGATCGAGTCGAGTTCGAGACTCGAGTGTTCCACACTTCGGGCTTGGGTATGGCCGGCTGCCGACGGCTAATAAGCCAGAAATGGCCATTCCAGTCTCCCTTTTCTTTGTCGGCAATACCATTCTGCCTATATATGATGCGCCGCTGTGCGGCTGCTGGTTGGGCGCGAGAGAGAGAGAACCCCTAAGACACGACGGAACGAGTGAGTTCCATATGAACGATCGGTGTGCGCACCCTAACACACACACGCATATATATATATATATATATAAGTAGGTGCTCTAACTCATGACATGGCAACCGAAATTGCGACGTTCATTTACGTTTGAAAAAGATTACGTTAGAAGGGCTGTAAAGCTAGACATCATGCGACATAATTCTACAATATTCCAGTTAAATCTGGATGTCGGTTTTCGTATGAACTTCCTTACGGCTGATCAAAAACAACACGCTAATAAAATGACTACTAAAATAGCACGAGTTTTTCTTATTGATTTTCTACGACACGAAATGTCCAATTATACTTTGCGGAAAACATGCAACAATATAAATTCGACTATACATTCGGTAGACAATAGCGTCCTGTTATAATTTTATACCCTAAGAAGGGATTTAAACCGGGAAATGCAAAATATTGCTTTTGAAGTTAAATCACTGTCATTGACTTTCTTTGACCTCCAAATAGACTAGGGACTTCAGTCGAAAACAATGGAGAGTTAACATTTTGACTTAGGACGCTAATTTGCCAAGAGGGTTCGAATTTTACTCTTTTCATTTTGCCTCTTTCTGGAGGACGGATTTTGCCCACAAATGGTTCATTGGCTGTTTCGTAATTTTGAGCACAAAACCAACTGTGAAAGTGCATTTACTTTTTCCGGTCTGTACGCTGAGATATGTTCCCGTTAGCGCTCTTCTGCAATGAACACAGTGAAACATATAGAAGTTAGTCAAAATCTTGGGAAAATGACTTTCTGAAGTAAAATGTCAGAGTTTTGGGGCAAAACTTTATTGGAACGTCTGGCCCACTGCCATTTGTCGAGAAATATGGGATTTCAAACAGAATAACTGGCGCATGTAGCTGCATTAAATTATTTAAATCTAGAACATTCCAATTGGCAGGAAATGGAATTTGGAATGGGATTTTGAATGTCTTTGTTTAATCCAAGCCAGTGTCAGGAAGCACGGCTAGTGTTCGATTGAGATATCGTTTTCTTTTCCGGTCAGGATAATATCATTCGAGTGAATGTGGTGCTGCGTGAAGATTGGTCCTTGTTTGAGTGACCCAAATGCTCAGCAAATGAAAACGACAACTTTTCACTTAGGGCCCTCGCCAAGATCAGTGCATTTGTATGTGCCTTTTGAACTAACCTGTCTGATTTACTAAGACCGCATGTTTTACTGATGAGTATATGCTCTACGACATTTCTCGAATCTTCGCAATATTATGAGGTGGACAATATTAAGATCAATAATCTTACCTCGAAAATTGTAACTGTCGAACAGGTATAATGGCTGAATGAGCAGTGCATATTGTTGAATTATGCGGTATGTGGAAAGCTTGTGAACGTGTGAACGAATCATATTTACACCTCTGAAATGTTAATTGATTTTAACTGCGCAGTAATTTGCAAATTGGGCTACTCATATCAGATTCACTTCGGACCGCAAACACACAGTGCGTGAACAGGTCTCAGCAGATTAACAATCTATTGCTTCCATAGTATAGCTCATTCAATGTATTTCGATGGCTGTATGAATGCAGCGATAATGAACATACAGTACCTGACCTATCTCATAAAATCTGATAACAAAAACTGATTAGAGAATTTTTGGACGCATTTGACGGGGCGCATTGTGTTCGCAATCCACATCCGTCAACGAAATGTCCTTTTCTTGTTCAAAAATTGTGTTTGCGTAATAATATCAAGTGAAGTATCAGTGAATTTTAGCGAAAATGGACGTTGGAATATATTCGTACAATTCCCTATGCCAATACATGTCGTAGACTCCAGTTACGCATCCGAGTGACTTTTTCAATGAAAGGATAATAATTTTCCCGGGAGAGTTTTTATATACAGATTTAGCCGGATAAGAAATTTTATTTCTTGTCCGATTTTGACAATGGTTATCAGTCTCCTTACAAATAGTTATTTTAAGAAAACCAGATATCTTATCAATTCCTTTGGGTCAAATTAGCAGATCTGTGCGAATTAGTGCCCTAACGTACAATAAAAACGTAAACGGAAGTTCTTTCCTTTACGTGGGCTGAAATTTATTTTTCGTTTGGAAAATTCTACCTGATTTTAAATAAATGACCAACACCGAATGGTCATTTGCAGTTTTGAACATATGACACACTACTTTTCTAGTATTTTAGTTGATGTGCATACGTATTACAGAAATAGAACGCGCAAAAATTTTTAGTTTTATCAAAAAATATCGGTATTTGCATGGGCGCTCTGCCGTGCATTCCTTATCAAAAAAAGGAGTCCAAAAGCGAGCAAAAACAATGGAAATGGCCTCAAAGTATAGAAAAAGGCATGTTGTTGTGTTTACCTCAGAAAAATAGTAGTATTTCCCAGGTTCGTGAAGGAAACCGTCAAAAGTGTCAAATTTCTACTTAGCCTCGCCGCGCAAAAATGTAAAGTACACGGAGATCCGTCGACGGAGTGCAGTCATAAAGCACTTCCAAAATAGGTAACTTATTAAGAGAGGCTTTCTTATTGATGCGAGTTATATTCGTTGGTGGCCTTCGTTATGGACAGTAATGTTTCTCGAAAATGAATTTTGATGCTTGAATTAGTCTTCAAATTTGACCTAGACAGCCATCTTTGCGAAAGTAAGCGCCTAACACTCACTTTTTCGGTATATGCCTTTAATAACAATTATATTTTTCAGTTCTTAACGGACAGGTAATCCAGGATCTGACTTTTTTGGCGATCGGGTTAGATGACTTAAAATTATGAAATACTTAGCAATATTTCAAGGCCGATCTAAAATTTATCATAATCGAAAACGCAATATGAGTATAAATGTATTTAACGAGAGAAAAATTCTTTTTATAAACACAAAATGGTATGGAAGAAATGTCAGGCCAATAAATTTCTTGTTCCAGTGATCGCATCTTCGTCTTCTGGACTGCTACCTGAAACTCGCCTGTTCGCATCTATCAACAAAATGGTATGGTGACGATCACACCTGTTGCTTCTATTTAAATTTATTTTGAACCCAACGGCCTCTTGGCATGTCACTCTTTACAAACTTTTGATCCTTCGGCGTCCCTGTCGCCGAAATCAAGCAAAATCCAGCTTCTCATGTTGAACCCCATCTCATTTAACCCCAAATCGTTAATGAAATTATGAAACACTGGAAAACTGTTTTGGAAGCTGCACGCAGGAATTAGGCAGTTGACAAACCGTCATATTTGATGTCACCCTACTTATTAAACTATATTTGGATGTAAACCTCACCCAAGCGCTGTTATTAGACGTGATTTTATGTATAATTTCATATTTCCTTCGAGTTTGCTATGAAAATACATTCTATACATCTGAAAACGAACTTTACTTGGTAAAAGCCATTTCTGACGTTTTCGGGATATAGGCTTTTCAACATAAATCGACATTTCATAACAACGCAACAATATCTATAATATTTTCTTTATGTGTTTAATTCTTTTAAACTTGTACTTAATAAATATAGACATTTGACTCACGAAATGGTGTCCGTTGGTAAAGGAATTGGCAATCATTCGTAAATGTCGACACATTTCATGAGTCAAAGGAGTCGCACATTGTAGGTATGCGCTAAAATGTATATCTAATGCTGCTTTTGTAGACGCGCAGGTATTCTTCGAAAGACGTTGCTTAAAAGGATTTCATCAGAATTTGTATTACTCAAACCAAACCCGCATTAGACCAACGCTCACGCTTCCCCAAATGCATTCTGTCTAAATATGCGTCACAAAACAAGAAGCTTGCGCATATATCGTTCTAAAGTAGATACTAATTCCACGAAATCCACCATAATCTGCTTCAGCAAGCCTGCTGCCAAAAGGATATTTTAAAATCCCGTTTACAATGCCCGATTCTTTACCAATGATGAGATATTTTTAAAAGGATGCGTCCAGTTCCTTCCAATTCAGTGTTTGATGAGGTGCAATGCCCTATAAAACGAATTACTTACATGGCTCTTTCAGTAGAAGCCGAAAGTATCTTCCTGATATCTCAAGCTATGACATAAACTGAGGATTGAATTGAATCTCTTTTTAGCAAAACAACCACTTGTTGCATCATGCAGAAGCGAATGTTTAATAAAATACATTTTCTGCCAGTTAAATGTGCGTAACATATGGCAAGGCGATTGTACTCTTGAGTACACATATTATCGAGATGTTGACGTTTGGTTATAATATTCATCTCCAATGACCACACAGAGTTAAATTCTCATCCAGTAGCCGAGTACCCAGATAATTGAGAAATTCCGGAGCAATTGGTTAGACGGTTGTGTCATCATTATATGATAGGTATTAGAAAATGTCCCAGACAAACAGGGTTCCCGCAACTTTTTGGATTTAATTTACATCATAACTGTCATCCGTGAGAATGCAGAATTTTACTTTGCCGACTACGCTATGGCCTGAACTGACCCAGTGATAGGATATAATAGACAGACGGAGTCAACGGTCTTAACAAGGCTAATCATTAGCGCAGTAGGCTCTGTCAGAACACAATTTGAACTCATCATCAAAACAGCAACCCAACTCTTGATGGCACTGTTTCTATCCTTCATCGCAGCACAATTATAAGAGACATCTAGTCCAAATTATGCGGCGGACAAGTACACAACCCTCCCTTTCCCTTCCATCATTTGGCGGTAAGTGATAAAGCACTTTCCAAAGGCCAGAAAAACCCCTGCGGATTAATTGTAGAACCTGTATTAAAATAAGTGCATTTTTCCCTCTCTCTCTGATATGCGTCATTAATGACCCTATTGTCATTCTAGACGCATGTCGCGCCTAGGGTGCATGCAGTGAGGACCTAACTGTGTGTCACATGCGTAGTTAGCCTGTTAATCTTGGTCCGCCAGCTCTTTGATTACACCTCCGGTGAAGTTGACATTATCTTGCAGGGATTCAATGTGCATGAAGAAGGTGACGAAGTGGAAGATGCAGCGCAACTGAGAATTTATTGTCGTGAAATTAAATCCGTAATCTGATCGGTTAGCGCCCATCTGTCATGATTGATGTCCCCGATCAGAACCGACGGAACACGGACCCATAGCTCACAGGCACGGTTTCAAATTCTACGACCAAATATCTCGGGTTTGAAACTCAAGTGATCTGCACTTAGGGTTGGGTATGACTGACTGATGACGGATAATGAGCCAGAAATGGCCATCTAGGTCCCTCCCTGTCTTCGTGGATACCTTGCCATTTACATCTAGTACAAGTCACTGTGTGAATAACTAAGAGGGTTCTAGTATGAGCCCCGAGGCTTAAAGGAACAAGCACGTTTCGTAACGTGATCATTTAGTGTTCATCTGTTATTATGCATATATGTAGAATTGTTTTTTTGTGTACCATACCAAAGACGTCCGTTCAATAGTTTGGTACCGTTGTAAATCAGAAAACTCAATCCATTGTGAGAGTACGAGACGTATATGGCTCACGTTGACGATCCGTTTGCATTTGTAAGACACAACGCCTGATCCAGCCTTGATTGTTTTTGACTCTCACATGAATTGCGGACATGGCGTTAATAAGGGACTATATTCGTGCTGTTCTTTGGAAACGGCTGCGAAAACGTTGGTGCACACGTACACCTATATTTTCAGTATCCTATTCGAATAGTCTAATGATTGTGATGATGATCGTACAGAACTGTATTGACCTTTGAACATTAAACGCCGACTAGGCAAGGTTTTTTTTGGGTCTAGGCGCCTGTTAGAGGTCATTGGGTGCACTCTTGCAGAGCCTGGTAACTGGAAACGGTCACGTATACATTATCTGACGATGTCAGTTGACTTTGATTTAAACTCATGTTCCAGTGGGCTTTAAAATTCCCATACATTCAGCTTCCAGATTTCCTTCTCGAGCTTGCTATCTTTGGATAAGTATACATGTTCACATTAATAGCAGAATGTAACGACCTGCGAGCTGCAGCTCTGTGCAAATTACTTATTTCAACACTTAATGTGGGACACAACTGCCTTCTGGGCACGTAGTAAGAGGATATATTTTGAAGAATAAATTTCGAAACTTGCCAGTTGAGAGACCCGAAGTAATTATTTAATGCATACTCATGGCACACGCTGCTTACTACAACAGTACATCGTGATCAACGACCGCCGAACAATTCCCACTCTCTCTCTATCATTGCCCCTCATTAACTTCGCGTTTCCACATCGTTGGCCAAGCTGCTGGTATCTTCAGAATATTTCGCACTCACTCCACATGAGCTTGCAAGACGTTAACGACCGCGACAGATAAGGGTGCATTTTAAAGCAGCATGTTCGCGCTCAGGAAGGGGCCGGCATCGGACAAAGTAATGGACTTCAGTGACGGTGATGACATCGCTTGAACTTCTTATTTGTACGTTTGGCTACCGAAGATTTAAGAAACTAACACAGCAGATTAGGGCTCTGCTAGCCAGAAAGTACCTAAATATGTCTCTACTTTGCTATTACACTGTAATACATAATGCAAGATATGGCGTCCCATTGTCAGCTGGCGAGATGGGCATTTAAATGTACACTATACACGTAAATTGGTCCAACTTACATTTCCCAATATTAGTAAAGCGAATTGAACGAACATTCAGGGTTTGCATTATTCGATGTCGCGTATTCGAAATCCTCATCCATGTGAAATAAAGTAGATAAAGTCCAAGTCTGCTGCAGGAAGCGGCCAGCACATCTGATCATGCATGGATAGTGAATGAGGGTGCAGACTGTGTCCGCCAAATAAATACACGACTGGACCGTAATTCCGTAAACGTCTGCTAACATTGGTTAGGTGGGAGAAATTGCCCCTGGTTGGCAACTAACATTAAAATCGTTAGCGAATCCCTTGAGTGAGTGGGCCATCTGTAACGGAAACCCGTAAATAATTCCCTCAGGAATGCAAAATCAGGTGCAAACAACGGCTCTTTCCACGAAGGACATCTAAACTCGTCATGTAAATTGCAATTGCTGAAGCTGTTTTAGATAATGACACAGAAGCGAGAAACGCTTTGCTGTAAAAATAGTAACCGTCACAATCAACCTATATTCTTGCCTGCATAATTTGTGTTTGAAGTAACTGCAGTTTCTAATGCAAGCGATTCGCAAGCGAACTACTCTTTTCTGCAATCCCTTTGTCCTATTTTGTAAAAGCAAATTAGGCGATTATCTGGGCTAAACTAACGGCATGACCACATGTAGATTTTTTTAACTTATAAGCGAACCGAACGACATTTCATACTAGAAGCAAACTGCCAAAGGTTTGATTGTCAATTAGTTTGAGGTTGCCTCATTATAAGATGGGCATGATAAAATCCATAATTCCTATGACATCGCCCTGCATCGTGCGTTTTAAAAAAACCATATTGATATAAATCGGCAAGAGTCTTTCACTGATGAACGAATAATTAAATATTTCTGCAAGTTGAAATTCACTCGGCCATTTAATTAGGAAAAATTGAAAGTAAGATCAAAGTTGCTAGTAAATAACTCAAAATCCCTAATTTTGCACAGCTAACGAATCCACCAAATGCATCAACCGGCAGTCCTCAAAGTATCTTGATCAATGAATTGGCTGCTTACGTTAAAGATATTGCCTTATGCCTCTTGCCTACTTCGGGACTTCATATATTTGCTCCCATAGGCCTCACTATCGGTTAGCGAACAGTTATTTTAATGTTAAGGGGCGCTCATCGATCGTTCATACGGAACTCACTCGTTCCGTTGTGCCTTAAGGGCTCTCTCTCGAGCCCAACCAGCAGCTGCACAGCGGCGCATGATATATAGGCAGAACGATATTACCGACAAAGGCAAGGGAGTCTGGAATGGCCATTTCTGGCTTATGAGCCGTCGTCAGCCAGCCATACTCAAGCCCGAAGTGTGGAACACCCGAGCCTCGAACTAGCGACCTGTTGGTTTAGAAGTCAACGCCTCTACTCACCGGGCCACGAGCCCGTTGCCCGGTCAGTTTTCGATCGGGAATATACAATGTTAGGGGGCGTTTACCGATCGTTCATACGGAACTCACTCGTTCCGTTGTGCCTTAAGGGCTCTCTCTCGAACCTAACCGGCAGCCGCGCAGCGCCGCATGATATACAGGCAGAATGAAATTACCGACAAAGACAAGGGAGACTGGAATGGCCATTTCTGGCTTATTAGCCAGTCATTTTAATGCCTGCTTATGTACACGCTCTAAAATATACATGAAATTGCAGTTGGATACTGTCTGCATGCAGTATTTTTGCGGCTTGAAGGCGATTTATTTGTTTGTTTAACAGTGATTATTCTGCAGCAGATCCATTTAACATTTTGCTTGCTCATTCAACCCCTTTCATATTGCAGTACAAAACCCGCAAATGGCATTTCGGGTGGCACAAGGTGCTTGCATTGTGTCTGTACGGCTGCCCAGTGGTCATTTCTGATTCACTGCAGACATGAAGGCAAACCGTCTCTGCAAACAAACAGCCTTGGAGTTCGCCATTGGAGATTTGTGAATTACAATTATTATAATTGCAAATCGCGATAAACAACTAGGACAAACACGATGCTGTTGATTCTGCTGTTCTTTCTACCTCAATGCCTTGCCTGTCCTCCAAAGGACAAAACATACTTCGGTTATTCTGCAACTAAAGCGTTTATTTTCCCCTGGATTTCGATCGTGTATTAAATTTTCGTTCTCATATTTTAGACAAAAATACTGCCTGTTTGCCCCCATCAGCGGAAGGGTACACTGGTCACTACGAGGAAGACCGTACAGTAACCACATCCTTGACATCGGTAAATGGAAAATATGAGGGGGTCCAATTCGTCTCTCTCAAAGTTATCCTGCATACGCAGCCCCAAGTACAGAGCTGCCGGTCGTTAGAAGACCACCCAATAAGAGGCCTGAAAATATTCAATTGTTCCTTCCAAGTTCCGTCTGCAAAAATACAGCTGACTTTAAATGTAAGTTGTCCGGTACTTACCTACGAGCTTGTATTCCAAACACTAATTGAAGTTTGCTTAATAACGTAACAAGCGATTTCCTCTACAGTGTTGTCTTTGAGATAATTAATGTGCTCATTTGATGCGTTTTAGCGGTTTGTGTGCACACAGCGCCGTAAATGTAGGAGAAGTCTAAACGAGCACATGTCATTTGAGCAGCCGTTTCTTGATGCAACTGGATATCTGATGTCTGAGGATGCGTATGAAAGCCAAAACAACGTCAGTCTGGAACTCCTTTCACTCACCGGCCTCAGAACGGTCATCTCGACAAATGCATGCATTAATAAACCGAGTGTCCACCAATTATGCATGCATTGGAAACATTCGCAGGGTGGATTAATAGCACCAGAGGATTTCACGCGAAACATGTTTCGGCGTTGCAGGTTTCAGCTTAATAAAACTATTGATGACTTGCTGAGCAACCCATAATAAAGGCCTACTGTGTTCTGCGTGCATATCCGGTCTTTTTGGCATCGTTTTGGTAGCGGGTTTAGGCAGGAAAAGAGATTAAAATGTGATAGCTCCTGGACAAGTCTACCATTACAAAATAACCCAGACGAAAACCAGCGTCTTTGTTCTCACCCACTCCGTCGCGGGTCATAAGATGGAAATTATCGGAAACGGCTAACCAGATGTTATATGCATAAATAATCACAAGTTGGTTTACTTCAGGTTACTTGGAAAGAATTTCGGCCTCACAACTTTAAACTTCTCACTTTCTGCAAACAAGAGTTATATAGACACTTTCAAAACCGGAGTTGCCAACATACTAAATACAATCAGTCATTGTTTTTCAAACCTGACGTTCATCTCAATGACATTACCTCTCTCAGCCAAATACTCCAAATACTAGTTCTAAATGCTGCATAATCGTGGCCATCTGCCCGGCATCTAGCGAAATGCACAAAATGTCATGAATGATCAAACATATCTTTATTAAGTCGAAGCATGATTCAATGAAATTTATTTTGTACAGATATACGTGAACAGTATGCTTAACCGTTGAGCTCTCAATTGCCATTTCCGAAAACTTTCCTTTTCTAGATTAATGCTTCTACGATAAAAACACACAGAGGAAAGAATACGTCGTATAAAAACGGTAAAAAATTGGTTAAATAAGGAAAGTCATTTCAAGGAACATTAAAATAGGGAGGCACTGAAAATTGCTGTAAGGGGGCGGCTTCATGTAGAAAAGATCGCGCGCCTGAAAAAAACATCGAAATTCGACGTATTCGAGTGAATTTAATTTACAACAGTTCTTGTTTTTAGCATGTTCGTGGCTAATGCATATAGTGAGCGTGAAAGTGGCATTTATAATCACTAGTCAAGCTACTTTAGAATATATTCAAGTCGATTTCTCGAGTTTGCTCGAATAGCGTCTAACAAAAGGAAAGTATTAATATGCAAATTACAAATTCTGGAAGACAGGTGACTCTCGGTAATACGCATTTGGCATTTTTCGGGCCACTTGCCGATAATGAAGCGTTTTGAGTTTCATATTTCGATTTATTTGCATCAGGTAATTGCTACACATCTGATATATTTAATGCTAACTTATTTTCAACAATAACGTATTTCGCTATTATGAAGTGAGGAGTAATTTCAAGCACAATTTGAATGCCTATATTGACGACTAATGCGAAGTTTAAGTGGAATTTTCACTAGAGAACTTTTAAACACGTTGGACTAATCGCATAAAAAGAAGGTTGAAAAAACAAAGATCACTTGAGAATTCGGTCTGAGTAACTCGCAGGCCCGTCATATCACTGTACAGGCAAGTGACGAACACTATTTACAGACCGACAAACACTAATTCCGAAGTAAAATTTAATTAGATATTGACCACATAAGAACGCACGAAGATCAAAGGTGCTTGCGATATGAGGATCATTCAACTTTAAATCAAACATTCACGAATATCCAAGGATGTCGGGTTTAAATAACAGCTTTTGAGGACCAGCACTCACACGTGGCTGACTGAATGTAAAGAATGCACCAAAAACCGCCAATGCACAATTTGCCACCCTCGTTCGTTATGTGTCTTGTACTATATTGGTGTTTACCTTATAACTACATTGAGCCCATAAAGTCGGCCTACAAATAAACGGGAAGCAGCACGTCACATTTTACAGTGATTGTTTTCAAATACAATAAATGCGGAAATGTCTTCGAAAATTGTCAAGTTTAGGACAGGAAGCTGAGGCTGCTGCCTTTAAACACCGACCAAGTTCTAACTGACGTCCGTCGGTGACATCTAGTGCACTGAATATCAATACCATTAGCGCATGTATTACTCTTATGCAGCTTATTGGTTTGCGGCATGAGCAGGCTTGAAGTGCTGGCGGTATCCTTTTGTCCTGAAAACAGGCTAACACGTTGGGCATTTCCATTGCTATCCTTTTGCTTTCCGCACTGGAGGATGTTTCGGATTGAGGAAGCCTTCGTTAAGCATTTGGAGGCTTCTCCATAGCTGTTTTACAATATAAAAATGGGCAATCACTGGGACAGTATGTGTATTAGTCTGAGCTTTCGGTCTCGTACAGGAGGCCATCGTCAGAGACGGTGACAATGCGAGGCAAAATGAGCATTTTTTGTAGTCAAAAAAAATGGGCTGGGATAAGATTGCGGGGAGTGGTGTTCACGATGAGGCTGAGTCCACGCCGTCTCATGGAGGCATGACTAGCAATTGGGGTCTCGCTACTATGCTGTGGAAACGGAGCGCGTGATAGCGTGTATGCTGATGGGGTTGGTGTCAAGCACACGGGCTTCCAGCAGTCCCTGCTCTGTCTGACTGCTCGCCTGCGCCATTATCCGCGTGCTCACAAAGTTAAATTCATGGCCTACCTCCAGACTGTGAGTAGCGACCTAGGACAGCGGGTCGCCTCCCTGGACTGCCCGTTTATGATCCGTTATTCGCGAGCTAAGCCGTCAGCCAATCTGTCCTGTGTAATGGCGAGGGTAGCCTCAGCATGGGATTTGGTTAACGACACCCGATTGTTCTCTGACGTCTACTCGGTCCTTTATTTACCTAATTTTGTTGCCCATGGGCTCTGTCCGACAGTGAACGAAACCACCGTGGAGCTCTCCCACGATACGTTCCGTTCCTTCGGATACATTCTTTATAAATGTCAGAGAGTGCCAGAGTGTTGACGGTTTTTGTCTGTATGTTCTCCGTGGACGCGTTCGGAATCAACGACTGACTAATCTCTCTGGGTATCAATTTCTTTGACAGTCGTTCTCGAAGATGTCGATTTTCACGTGCTCGTTTCTTCGGTTCACTACAATGCGTTTTTACCCCTTGAGAGTGCCCTAACGCTGCCGCGTTTATGCGTCATTGGGTGATGACTATGCAAATTGAGGGTCTGTGTCGTCTTAGTCTCCTTTCCACACACTGGGGTGCTGAGTTCGTTATTGGATGCGCGTGTGACGAGGACTTAAATTAAGGGAAACTGTTCAGCATGCTCTTCTACCCTTGCGAAATAAATGTTCTGGAAGATGCCGTTAAGCTTTTATTGAAAGCCTTTTAGTCTGTTTTTTTTCAATTCTAACGAACGTGTCCTCTTCATATCGACGCCGAAACACAGGCTCATAGTGTTCGAAGGTAACTTTTTCAACTGCCCTAAAACTATTTCCGCAACCAGGCCGGATAATAGCGAACCTATATCTGCTCCTTTGATCTGCTTGTATGTTCTGCCATTAACGTTAGAAAACGTTTATGGCAGAAAGCAAAGAGTAACAGTAAATGGTTACTTTTTAGATGTCTGTTCGCTTTTTCGTAGTTTTTTTTTATCGTGGCGTTTGCTTAGAACATTGCGTGATATGTCCGGTTGGATGGATGTGAATAGTGAAACCACGTCAAAGGCCCACAGTTTTTCCTCGAATGTCGGCTAGGAATTTGGAGACCGAATTGTTGGAGGTCCTCGAGTCCTCTCCGAACATCCGTTTGGACAGATTGTAAGTGGGGCTGCCTAGGCACCCAGCGAGACCCGCTTCACAGAACAACGCCAACTGGAGTATGTGGGTACCGACTACGCTTTCTTTTTATTTTTCCAAACTTCACAAAACGCATTCCATTATGCGGCATTCTAAGATGGTAGGAAATCGTGAAATGGCTTTAATTGCATTCCACAAGAGCATCCGTTATTTTCGTTCTGCACCTATTCCACTAGTACAACATTTACTTTTTAATTCTTCTACATATGGTTTTTAACACAATGATCCGGCAATTTTAGCCCACAAATATAGTAATGGAAAATTACCCCTGTATACAGGTTCGTCACTGGGGAATAACGAGGAAATTTTCCGAGTTATCTGGGCAAGGTGGCCTTGGAAGTGTTTTAGTCACTCAGATGAGTAATTGCTCAATTTCAAAAAACATTTCGATTTGCTTCCTAATTACATCATCGTCTCTGTTTATCGTTATGAATTCTTGTCAGGGTGAATCTATAAGTAAATTATGTTAAATATAAGCATTGAATATCGAAAATATTTTCACTGTTTATTGCATACTACTTCAGTTGTCAGACAAGTGTCATGCGGCAAAATGCAAAGAATTGTCTTGGTTTGCTGCAGAGTCTACAAACGGGGAAGAGCCAAAAATAGCATCCTGTGCCTTTATACAAAACCGCAATCGAAGTTATAGGTTAAGGAGATTGCAAGGAGGCGTAAACAAGGCGGGTTGAAATGGCTATGTCTGGCTTATTAGTCATAAACATCCAATATTATCTAACCCTGAGGGCTTCATCTAATGAGGTGCTGAAAAGTTGAAGCACGGAAAACGCCATGTGAGTTACAAATAATCACCAATTCAAAGGTATGACCATTTACGCACCTTTAAACAACTGTCTTCCAAACAACCCCTTTGCGGTGTCCCGCAGGAAATCTTTGCTGCACACAGCCTTCAACAATCATCTGCCCTACGAAATACACTAGCCAGTCAGCGTGCCAGTGGAGACATTTTCCATGTTTTAGGCTTGTCGCGCTACTGTCCGCAGTTTCATCCGAACCACCGAAAATTCAAACCACCGAATCGATAGGCTGATCACGCGACGCTCGTTCTAATAGAGCTCGTGCCGATATGAAGTAGTCATTGACGCCAGCCAGCTGAGGACTACTTGTAAAAGCTCGCGAGTCAAAACTTTTCGCAAGGCTTATAAAAAGGACATGCAAGTGAGCGAACAGGGTGCAATGCATCGGAAATGGGCGATGTCGGACCAGATGTAGTCCGAAACAAAGGAACCATAGGAATACAAACCAACGTCACCGGGATGAAAACGTACCTCCACATCAATGCAAGATGCCATCTTGAGTAAATTCGTCGAATGCGGAATGTAGGTGTGCATCAGTGGGCGTGAAGTCGATCCCCTTTATTTTCATATGGAGGGGACCGGCCGCCGATTGATACCGATCATGTGGTTACTAGTCTAACGCCCCAACATCTGGGCTAGGGCATCCTTATTACGTCGATTCGATTAAAAATATTTGACATGGTAAGGGGGTGCTTTTCACGCGCGCTTCGAAATCAATAAGTCCCATTGTGCCCTGTGCCCCACCAGCAGCGGTTAGCGGCGTGTGCTATAGGCAGAACTGTCGAACAGTCAAAAATGGCCCGTCATCAGCCTCGAGGTGGGCCATAAACGAGACGTGAATAGTCGTTCTGCTGTTTAGACGTCCAACTTTCTAACCGCTGAGTCACGAGCGAACCCGCAACTTGACGTTTCACCCCATTAGGATTTCGTCATGAATTTTAGTATTTTGAATGATTAACAGTTGGCGCGTAAAAGCACGAATTGACTTTCATTTGACGATTAACCTAGTAAGCCTTGCTTGTTTTTGCGACCATAAATGACCCTTTTGACAAAAATGACATCCGGCAAAATGAGGCTGGTAGTCTGATCAAAAGTAATTAGTGGGCCAAAAAAGAATAAACTAGACGTATCAGGAGTTGAGTCAGCGTGCACCGGCCATTTCTTATTCGTACAGACAAGTGATAGACGCATCATCTTGTTTATTCAAAGAAAACCACATATATCTTAGTTCTGACACTTGCAAGAAGGCAGAAAACAGACAGACTGAGACGGCAATTTCTGACTTATTAGCCGTAATCAGTCAGCCATACCTAAGCCGGAGGTGTGCATTCCACGATGTTCAAACGAGCAGTCTGAATGTTACTAACCTACTTCCCAAACAACTGAAGCACGGAATCGTTGTCAAGTCAATTTCGATCGGATATATTAAGCATGACCAGGAGGTGATCTTTGATAGCGCTACGAACTCATTCATTCCTTATGTCGCTCGGCTCCCTTCTCATCTATCCCCGCCGACATTGGTAAAGAGGCCTATATTATAGACAGAACAGTCGCAACTTAAATGACAGAGAAGACTATAATGGTAGTTTTTAGCTCATGACTCGCCATTAGTTAGCCATACTCGTGCCCGCAGTGTGCCACACGCATGGTTTGAATTCTCGTTCTGTTGTTTAGACACCTAAAGTTATTAACCTCTAACTGACCAGTCCGTTGTCCTGTCGGTTGTGATTGAAAATATTGACGATGTATGAGGGACGTAAACGACAGAAGATCGAACTCGTGTCTCAGTGATTAGGGCATTGGACGTCCAACTAACAGATCGCAAGTTCGAGCCTCGGGTTGCACACCGCAAATTTTGGCAAGGCTGGGTAATGGCTTCTAATAAGCCATAAAGTTCCAGCCTAGTCTTTTATCCGTAATGCTATTCCGCATATAGCATGTGCCACTGAACGGGAACCTGTGTGGTTTGCGATTGAGGCCTAATGCACCACTAGATGATTGCGTTCCCTCGGTAGATCGGTAGGCCCCTGGGAAACAAATGCAAGACTCCACTTCCACAAACAATTTTACTTCGTATGGAAGTATATGTCACTCTGAGTACAGATGCGCATTATTGTTATTAATGTTTATAAATATCAGTCTGAACAGAGAATTCGGTCAATTATGCTGTCAAAATGGGCGATTATGACATAAGTCCTTGGGTTTCGTTTTGGCCCTGTACTTCGTCGTAAGATGCCGGCGTTTTTTTAAAGATGGGAGATATTCCTTAGCACATTACCCAGATATGTAGCCTCATGCTTGACCGCAGACGTTGATAAAAAAACTTCAAGCAACATAATAGCGTGTAAAACAGGATTATCTGGACACGAGTCATCAGCTGTTGTGTTTAGTTTCTGCCGCTAGACGGCTTTTGAACTTTCTGTGAAACCAAATACAAGCAACAGGTTTAAGTGACTATACTAGTACGTGCAAGTGAGTTGCAAATAAATAAACTGTTGTTTTATTTATTTTATTCGTGCAGTGGCTATTTTAACACTCGTATTCGGTTTCATGGAACTTTGTTCAGGTCTAGTTGCCCATGTCTTAAGATTCAGAATTCACATTTGAGCATCGTAGATACTGTTATCGGACTTGTCGGAAAAGCCCAAAAATTGCATGGAAAATTTGACTTCAGCATACGATTACGTGACGTATTTGTCATTATTCATATTTTGCACGAGTTTAGACAGATAATTTCCTTTTATGAGTAGGTACAAGACGGACTGGTCACGAAAAGACATCATTGTGCTTCAGGCCTATGAATAACAATGTGCAAGGAGAATTAAGTTAAAAATACTAGCGTTTGAAGATAAATGGCGTATTTTTAAAATTTTCCGACAAATTTTAGTGCATTACACAGACGGAAGAATAAATCGGGACGAAAATTTGTACCTTTTTGGAATTTGAAAACATAAAATCTATTCGAAATTGTCTGTTTACAATAATTATTTCTTTGTAAAGCTTGCCGAAATGTAATTCGAAATGCAACACTTTTTACGTGAAAGCTATAAGTGGCTTGAATCCTGTCCCACAAGAGAATTCGTCAATCCGGTTCTGTAAAAACTCCGCTTCTGTAGATTTGCTTTCGACTTCTTATAGTCATGGATTCTAACATACTATTTCTAGTGATTTTACTCCCAAAATATTGTAATTCACCATGGCATATGGAAACCAGTTTACGGTGGACAAATGACAGGCAGTCGTACCTAATTCCCTGAATAGGGCGGACTTGAAAGTGTGCTAGTCACTCAGAGTCTTAATTGAGCACTCACGGAAAAGCATTCAATTTACCACCCAAGTATACCACCGGCCTAGTCTGTCATTCTGAACTTTTGCTGGACGAATCAATAAATATGTCATATTAAGCATTACACTACACTCAGCGAAATTTTTCAGCATGTGTTATTCTCCCATTATTTTCTAATCTGTCATTTATAAATTTATGCATTGGCATAGACCGCCGTTTGGCAATCATGCTACAAGATATGTTCGTCCCGTTGGGCCGTAGCGGACAATACAGAGCCCTCGCAAAGGACCCATTGAGACTTGACGTATAGGCATTAATGGTACCGACATAGAAAAGGACGGACAGTTTTTATAATCTGATGGGTATTTATAATCGATATCTTCCATCATTGGCAAAACATGCCGATGTGTCAAATGTAGCGCGTAAAGTATATTTTATTTACGTTCAAGTTCCCACTGCTGCATGCTGAGCGTTAGTTATAACTGCCTAGTCACGGCTAATAAACCAGAACTATGAACTCCGGTGATCCTTATCTCCGTCGGCTCAACGTCTACATATATTTTCTCAGGAATACATGAAGATCGACTCATCGGCTGCTGGAAAATAATGACCATCGTTTTGGTGACAGAGGCCACTAACATCCAACCATTTTTAGGCCAAAAATGTCTAAGCTAGGATGGGACAACGGGAAGACAGAAGTGTAAGGAAGTTTGGTTTATAACTGTTTCGGGCTTATTTGACTCAAATCCCTTAATTGTAACCCCCACACCCATAAGTATGTTATATAAATCTATCGCTACGTTACTAAAATGCCATACACAGACAGCGTTTGCGGTCGCTGCCGATTTTTAGCACGTTGTAGGCCTGTCGTGTGCCATCCGAAGAATGAAAAATGTAATACCTGAACGTTCTTCCCTTATTTGTTTGGAATCCTGCTCGATTCCACCTAAGCCGTCCAACAGCTCGATCATGGATGTCTACATGACAGGCCTGTTTCCCTCACTTCTGATGGCAACACGTAGGTCTATGTTGTTTGGTGGATCGTATATTAGATTCCCGGCAATACTCCGCGGCATTCTTTGGTTTCAGGAAATTGAATATGACTATGTTAGGCGTTTGTCAGAACTCTCAAACGGAAGCTTTTCATGGAAAGCATTTATCGAATAAAATGAAATTTTAGGTGATCGTTATATTGCAGACAACAGTTTGTCTACATTTAAAACCGAGCAAAGTGTAAAGTATAGTCGCAGGCGGGCTTTTGAATTTGAGCCGCCATTTTTATAGCTCTCCATTCACGTGTGGATTTTACTAATTGTATATTATTGTGCCTTTTCTCTTCGATATATTGAATTGTTTTGCATCCTTTGTTTGTCTGAGCTAAGGTTATGAGGTCGTCTCTACAGTACGCTAGCACCCTTTTGAACGGAAATAAATTGTCAATTTCACTTACGAACGACCATGATGCAAACTGCTGTACTTTACGACCGATATGTCGTATTTGTGATCGTTCTGTGTTGACTTTATCAAATATTCGTCAACAACGGCCTATGCATCGGAGAAAACACCGTTGTGGCTGGCAATTCGCATTCAAACGTCAGCCGAATCACAAATTGTCAATTCCTGCCTTCTTGTCGACAAACTGTCGTTCTATTTTCAACAAAACCCATGATTTGGAGCTACTTTTGTCGAAAAAAGAACACAGCAAAACTGAAGTTGTTTGCCTTCAAGAGACGTGGCTTAATAGTGACATTGATTCTCAGCTTATTACTTCCCCATCCTTCTACTGCTTTCGAACAGATAGAAAATCTTCATCTTGTGGCAGAGGTGGAGGCGTTGCCATTTTTGTTAATCAAAATTGGTGTAGAGACTGTAAGTCCCTTTTTTCTTACTCTGATGATTTAATAGATGTAATCGCTGTTTTATGTAAGCCCCGTTTGTTAAGTAATTTTAAGGGCATCATATTTGTTAGCATTTACATTCCCTCCTCTTCCTGTGAAGGCGCATTAACCCGTTTTTTCGACTTCCTCTCACAAAAACTTGCCATATTATCCTGCGACCATCTTACTCTCTTATGCGGGGATTTTAATCGCGTGAATTTACGTCCCCTTACATTTTTAGGCTTCGATGATCTTGTCTCCTTTAATACTCGCGCAGATGCTCCTCTTGATCATATTCTGACTAACTATAGCAAGCTTTTTTGCGTAAAAAA